AGAGCCTTCCTATTTTGATGCTTCGAGCATATTGAGAGAGTACCACTTTCAGACTTTGATGTTAACAATATGCTTTTCTCTTTTTATCTCAAGCGTGGACAACATCAGTTCAAGACATGGAGCCTAAAGAAAAATGTTGTTGTGAAGGTTTATGCTCCTTTTCCAACTGAACACTTCATAAACGTCAAATTCAAGGCGTTCCGAGGAGCAAATCGCACTAAAGATGACTTCACCCTTTTCTGATCTACCATGCATGAATGCGAATGATTGGATTTCCTTGTTTTTAATTTTGTCGAAAGATGAACAGAAGTATGAGCCAATCGTTGCTCATCTAAGGAGAATGTTGGTTTGCTACATTCATGAGATTGCAAAAAAGGATGTAGAAATAGCAACAATTTTAAAGAAAAATCCAGTTGTGAAACCTGAAGAAGAATCGAAGGACTTTCAAAAGATAAAGTTGGGTAAGATTAAGAAAGCAAATTGGAGTGTGGTGTATCAGAGAAAAGATGGTGAAAATGTTCAGAAGAGTTTGTTCTATTTATTAAATAAACATTTATACTCTACTGTTGCACTGAACAACATCATGTGCTTAACTGAAGCGTGCAAAGCAAACAATGATGCTGATCTGACATGGTTCAATGATATGATCAAATGGTATCTTGTGATCAAATATACCCTTTTGAATTTGATGAAAAAGTTGTTCAAGGTTCAGAAGAAACAACAATGAAGAATCTCCTTCGCAATTTGACACAACGGGGGAGATTGTTAGGCTTATTAATGTGTTGTGTCAAAATGTTTTATATTTGAATAGTCTCATTTATTAACGGGTTGGGCCTGTCCATCCGCGATTATGGTTTGCTTGGGTTAGACTATTTAATGTACATGCATGTATCGTTCTAGAGTTATCGATGGTATTTGCCCTACTTAGCTTTTACAGAAAAGTTCACGTTGAACTCTTCTAAGGCTATTCAATCTAAGCATTCGACACTATTTGATCTTCATTGTTCATGTTATTTTGTTCACATCGTTTATAGAATCTATCGATCTAAGTTTTTATTGTTTCAACATTATTACTTGGTTCTAGTTATTTTGATTATTGTTTTATACTCCATATGATGATATTTGGTAATAATAATTGAAATTGGGTTGTGTGTTTTTGCTTGTTGGCATACTAAAATGGTACGTTGTCAATTCACTTATTGTTCCAAGTTCAAGTAGTTTAGGAACAAAGACAATTGGTTGAATCCACATATATTATTCCAACTTGTGACGTTGAATCATAATATTCTAATAAGTAGTCGTTTATTGTCAATTCACTAATTGTTCCTGATCCAATTAGACTTAGGAGTAAGACAACTAGTTGAATGAACATATGATGTATCCAAAACTATGTGTTACAAGATAATAAATCCGAGTTGTATCTAAGTAACTGAATTAGGATTTTAAAGAAAAAAGTGTGTGATTTTGAACTGTCCGACAACTGAATTGGGAGTACCTTACTTTTCTCAACAAGAATTTCGTTTTAATTAACAAAGTTCCAAGCTTTTTGTTTAAATCTTTTTCGTGACAATTACAAGTAAAACATTTTACGTTGATTATTTAAACACAAAGCTTAACCACGAACTCCTCGTGGATTCGACTCGACTTACCCTATCTATGTAGATTAGTTGGTTCATTTTTGACCGAGACGGCGACCTCAATCATTATACTTAACATTTTGCAACCCTCCTCCCCTCCCTTGCGACCAATATACCTTACGTAAAGAGGTATAAACCTTTATCCCCGTGTCTTTGAGGATCGACCCTACTTGTCTTGTACTACATTTTTAGTGTATTTGGAGTCTATTGTATCCGTATTATTTGTTGGGTTTGATATGTTGGTGATTTTGTATCATCAGTGTGTATTTAAGTGTAATGGATTGACTTGTTGACCAAAATTCAATCGTGATGAATATTAAACAAGTAAGGAAGGTGCGGAGTGCACACTTGTTTAAATTTATTCAAGATTCAAAGTAGACTGTCATTTAGGGGTGAAACCCCTAAACGAACGGGGGTCAGGGGCAACGCCCCTAGGAGCGGGGTTCAAGGGGCAGAGCCCCTGGCTGGGGTCGAGCTTGCCAGGTCAGCGCGGAAATTTTTTATATGAGTTATATTACTATATAAAAAATGCCTTAGAAATCTGAATTTTCTGTAAATGAACCCGATTTTTTACTTCATTTTGACCTTTATTAAAAATTCGTTTTTGGTGACTGTTATTGGTTTTGACAGCTGGAGTAGTTTTTGGACAAAGAAAACTGTCTTGACAGTTTTCAGACAAATGAACTACTTAATCTTTTTGGTCATCATTTTTCCTGGTACAGCAACAATCACGAAATTCATAACAACCATATTTTTTGTTCTTGCTCTCAATCCTTAGTCTTATCCGATTAAAGATTGGAAGTACCACAAAAATACTTTAAACTGAAAGTGAAACCACAATTCTCAGAATTTCCAAGCCTTTTTATAACCCCAAAAATCTTACATGATACCATATTAACATGTGATTATACATTTAAACATTTATACATTTATCTTGTCTTTGTTTTTTGTGTGAAGAAATGTCGTTTCGTTTTGGCAATAATTTGTAGACATTATGAGATGTTAATCTAGTTTAAGATGACGTGACCGTGTATATTATATATAACCAAATGCTTATATATTAACGTTGTAAACTTTTGTCATATTTTATTGAAAAAATACCTATATATTAACATTTAAAATTATAAAATAGTTTTTTTCTCTCCCGAATCTGGAATTTTGGTATTGAATTTTGGTCCGAAATTTATGATTTTCGTCAGAAAAAAAAACTTTCATAATTATTCATTTCGGACTAATTGGTCCTCTTTTAAAGAAAAATAATAATTTTGGGTTATTTTCATTACTATTTAGTTAAAATTTGATTATTTAAACTAATGTTTCTAAATTATTTATTTTTAGTTATCACTCAAACGAAGTTGTATCGTCTTATCATTAACTTATATGACTTATTTTGGTAGAACCGTTGAAATAAAATGTAATCCTTATTAGAAGAAGAAAAACGTTTAATTTTAAGAGATTAAACAATTGTTAATAAATTATGAAAACAAACAAAACGTTTTTACAGTTTTACTGATGACAACGAATTTTATACTAATATCATGTTTATTTTAAAATCAAATAACAAGAAATCAATTTAAACTTCTTTTATTTGGATAAAAACCATATGAATATCAAAATATCGTACAGCACAACATCATCAACCTAACACGTCCCATATATGTGCCATGATACATATATAGCATTCCTAGATCATAATTTCATAATGCTATCAATAACATAATTCCAACCCACTGCAACTTGTCCGGTCCACCATATTAGGACTTTGTGTATGTTGTCCTTGGCATCAAGATTTTAGCGACATTTATTTTTCCATAATTAACTTCTTGGGCAAATAAAAGTTTGACTTAATTTCATATTGATTTTTTTTTATCAAATAGGTGTTTTGAAAAAAATATTTACCAAATAGATATCCTTTCAAACCTATTTATCAAAAGAGTATAATAGTCAAAATATTTACCAAAGCAGTGTTTTTTTGACTTTTTTATTTATTTATTTCCGGCTATTGTTTTAATATTTACTTTAATATTTTCAGGTTTTTTTATTGTTTTTTAAATATTACTTTTTACCTTTTTTTTAACACTTTGCTATTAAGTTTTATCAAAAAAAAAATTACAAATATATTATATATCATTTCATCATCATCACAAGAAACTGATTAAACGACAATGCAAGACATCTTAAATTAAAACCAACATCAAACGTATAAATCCAACAATAACTTCGTACAAAAACGAAAAGTGAAAAATAAACATTTATATTCCTTGAGCCGATTAGTTTTAATGTTTCTTTAATTACTTCGGCTTGGAAGGACATTTTTTCCGATTATGACCACTTCGCCTACAAATAACACAAAGGTATCCATTTTTTCCTTCTTTAATGTCCATTTCATTTCATAGTCTTGTTGAACGAGGACGACATTTTTTATTCCGTAAAAGCTCTAAATTTGGAACCAATTCTCTAGATGACGATTGTGGCCAATACGCTTCATGAGGAAGTGGGGAAAACTCGGATGACCAACTAGAACAATACTCTAAAATTGAGTAACATTTATGAACATATTGCCAACTATTCAAAAAAGTTTGGCACATACGTTCAAGACATGAGAACATGATATTTAAATATCTCCCACTTACCACATAAGATTCATTTTCTACAATAGCAAATGCAGTGGAAAATCTGATTATTACCATCAACTCCCATTGCAATCAACATCTTTCCCTTGTACTTACCATACAAGTGTGTGCCATCAATACTAATCACTAGTCGACAATGTGCAAACCCCTTGACAGAAGGAGCAAAAGCCCAAAAAACACGTCTAAATTCCACTTGTTCCACATTAGTTGACCTTGAAACACACCACTCGACTATAGTCCCCGAATTGAACTTTTGAAGTGCGCCTAGAAATTTTGGTAAAGGTGCATAAGACTCTTCCCAATTGCCAAACACTTGTTCAATTGCATTCTGCTTTCCTGCACAAACCTTCTTGTAAGAAGGAGTATAGCCTAATTTATCAGCTATTTCGGCTCTCAAAGCAGGAACACAAATAGAAGGTTGCTCTTTTATAAGGTGTTTGGTTACCTGAGCAATCAAGCTTGCATCTAGGTTTGGATGGTCTTGAAAAATATTGTTATGTAAACAAGTATGTCGACCAATGTACTTTGTAATTTCAAAATATCCACTTCGTTTCCGTTTACTTGCACGAACTTGCCATTTACAACCATATTGTAAATTTAACTTGCATCTTATGCTCCATAGAGTTAGATATGTTTCAATGACCTCAAATTGTATATGTGTCTTAATACAATGGATATTGATAGCTCTTATAAGTTCTTCTTTATCCTTGAAAGAATCTTTTCCCAACTCTCATGTAAAATCATTCTTGCACATTGATTGTGACACAATCCAATTACCATCACTAATCACATTTGTTTCCTCATTATTGGTAAACGTTGCAGGTACTTGTGGTGGTTCATGTTCTTGAGTGATGACAACTCTATCTTCTTCTTCGTCATCTTCTTCTCCAATGTCATCTTCTTGTAACACGTCATTTTCATCGATTTCATTGTCACTAATTATTACATTATTGACAACAGCAACTTGATAAATTATGTAGAAATCTCCATTTTGAATCATGTCTGATATGGCAATAGCATGTGTCACACCCCAAAACCGGAACGGCGGAAACGTTCGGGGGTGGAGGACGTCATGTTCAGTATCACAACAATGCAAAGTAGTAAACAAGCAACAACATCATCCATTGCATTAATAATATAATTTCATACAAGTGTGTTCTGTCAAGTTATATAGACACCAAAATATGAATCAAAATAAAAGATGAGTCTTGAACGAGCTCCATCTTCTCAAAACCTGGCACCGGTACCTGTCTACTGGTGACCTGAGAATACAAGTTATTTTGAAAGAGTTTATCAGCTTTAAAGCTGGTGAGTTCATAAGTATATTAGTGACTGAGTTTGTATGAAAGTGTTTGTAAGTATGTAATGTATAAGTTTGAAAATGTTTGTAAGTGTTTGAATTTCCCTAGAAAACCCTATGTTTCCTACTAAAAGTAGCCTTCTACCAAGGCATCTAGTGTCTGTGTGTGTGTCTCTTGTAAGAGTATGTATTTTCCCAAATCTGACTATCCTTTACCAAAAATATAGTTTTTACATTACTGTTTATTGTGTGAAGATCACAAAGTGAATGTAATGGGAAAATGAAATAGTACTGTAGTGTTGTATTAAGTAACTACTGCTGTACTAACTACCTTAAACCAATTGTTATTTAAAGTACCATGTGATCGGCCTGTATCCTGCTACCGACTATAAACACGACGATGTAAGACGTCGGAAGAAATGACGTTTGGCACCCGTAGACTTGCAAGTCCCACTGTAGCGAGCAGCAAGGTGTAGGATAGTCAATCCAGTATAGATCTATACACAAACCCAAACGCTCCCCACTTAAGGAGATTCTTGATACAAAACGGCCATGACAGGTAATGTCATCCCTTACGTGGCTCACATAACTTTACTAATGTTCTAGTATATGTATGTGCTAGCTGTATTGTGTGTTCTCTCCCTGTCTAGCATGTATGTATGTTCTCTCTGTATGGTATTGTTTGTTTCTCATCATAGTATTCTCTATCTGTATGTTATGTTCTCTCTGTATAGTATTGACTCATGTATGAACTGACTCTTTGTATGTTTCACTGTTCTAGTAATAGTATTAGTATCTCCCTAAACTATACCTATTATAGCTTACTAGTAATGTTGTTTGAATGTATGAACATGTTTGTATACCTTTGCTACCCAAAGGTATTGAACTGAATGAAAGAAGGAACTTTTATATCTATATACATATACATAATATATAACTAGGATTCAAACGACCTTCGGACAAATAACCTGAATACCCTAAGTCCACAACCAAACAAGGAACAGGAAGTAAGGTGAGCTATCAGTCCTAAGTCCTTTCAATCCTACTTATATAACTATATCTATATAGATACACATTTAACAGAAATATAAGTTTAAAAGAGTTTAATAAAAGTATTTGATATGTAAAAGAGTTTGTAAAACAGTTTGATAATACAGTTTGAAAAGTAAGAAATCCACTTGTTTGGTAGTTATTAATCACATGTGATTGATATAATAACTATAATAGTTCAACTTGTATTCCCCCCCATAAAAGCATTTAAAATCATTTAAAAGGTTGATTAAGGGGTATGAACTCACCTGTAGTGAGTGGTTTGGATGAACGGATTGTTATAGGATGCTAAGTGTCAAGTGAAGACTTGAACACACACAAGGATCCTAGTTAACATATAATAACACATATATGTATCCAATTAGTCATTAAACAACTAATTAACCAAGTTAAGACATCCTAAGACATGTAAAACACTTTATTTAAGTGCTATAAGTACTAAGGATTGCATCTAAGGGTTGTAGGACTTGGCTATTGAGTTTAGGGTCCAAGGGTAAACTCTTTATGAGTTTACGGTTTTGGGACCAACTCCTTTGGAGTTTACGGTCGTAAACCCATGAGTTTACGGCCGTAAACTCATGGTACTTTTACCATTTTGTGTTTTGAAGCTTATAGGTCCTAAAGAAGCATTCCTACTTCAAGTCTAAGCCTTTGGAAGTGATTAGGGCACCATTTCACCCCTTTGTGGAGTTTACGGCCCATGGACCATTTCTCCTTGGGTTTACGGCCGTAAACCCTAATGGTTTATAGTCTTTTTGATGTTAAAAGGTCCTAAGCACTTTAAGGATATGTTCTAGACTAGTATCCAAGGCTTGGTAAGGGACTAGGGCACACTTTGGCCCCTTTATTAGGGTTTACGGTCCAAGAACATCTTGGACCGTAAACACCTTTGATCTTGTGTTTCCTTGTGTTTTCTAGATGATTAAGAAGTGTAGCAAGCCTTATAACAAGCCAAGGTAAGAGTACTTACTATGTAGAAGCTTGAAAGGGTGTTAGAAGTCCAAGAACACTAGTGTGTGTTCTTGGTGAAACTAAGAACACTTGAAGATCTACACAAATGGAATGATTTCACGGATGGAATCATGTAAGATCACTAGATTAAGTAAGATATCAACTTTTTAGGGCAAGAAACACTTACATAGTTGAAGATCAAGAAGGAAAATCAGATGATACTTGAGAGGATTTGAGTCTTGGTTCTTGAAAATGTGAAAAAGTGAATAAAATGGCTAAGTGCCATATTTATACCCCCTGGGGTTTACGGCCGTAAACACCTTGTTTAGGCCGTAAACTCCAAACTCTTGGAGTTTTGGAACTTTATTGGTGCACAATAAACCCTAGGGTATCCTCTCTCCTATTATCTCTTGAAGTACTAACTTTAAAACACTCAGACTAACTCCAAAATGCTTAACAGTTAGCAGAAACAGTTTTTGATTTCCATTGAAGTGAATGGTTGTACAGAATAGAAATTTCGGGTTGTCACATCATCCCCCCTTTAGAAGGAATTTCGTCCCGAAATTAGAGTTTAAGCAAATAAGTAGTTACAAATAACTAGGTAAAAAGACGAGGATATTTCAGTTTCATCTGATCCTCTCGCTCCCAAGTGAATTCAGGTCCTCGCTTGGCGTTCCAGCGAACCTTCACTATCGGGATACGGCTTTGTTTCGTTTGCTTGACCTCCCGGTCCATGATCTCTACAGGTTCTTCCACGAAGTTGAGGCTCTCGTTGATCTCGATCTCGTCGAGTGGGATTACAAGAGTCTCGTCGGACAGACACTTTTTCAAGTTCGAGACGTGGAAAGTAGAATGTACGTTACTGAGTTCGCGTGGTAAGTTAAGTTTGTAAGCTACAGGGCCGATTCTGGCAAGAATCTCGAAAGGCCCTATGTATCTTGGATTTAGCTTTCCACGCTTTCCAAAGCGTATCAAGCCCTTCCAGGGTGAGACCTTCAATAGAACACGGTCGCCCACCTGGAATTCCAACGGTTTCCTTCGTTTATCAGCGTAGCTTTTCTGTCGGTCTCTAGAGGCTTTCAATCGTTCACGAATCTGAACGATCTTCTCTGTCGTTTCCCGAATGATCTCCGGACCCGTGAGAGTGCTTTCAGGAACTCGTCCTTTAGCTAACTGGGTATCACCCACCTCAGCCCAGCACAGAGGGGATCTGCACTTTCGGCCATAGAGGGCCTCGAATGGAGCAGCCTTTATGCTCGTGTGATAACTGTTGTTGTAGGAAAATTCGACAAGGGGTAAATGAGTATCCCATGCTTTCCCAAAGTCGATCACACAGGCTCGCAACATATCTTCCAAGGTTTGGATAGTCCTCTCACTTTGCCCGTCGGTCTGTGGATGGTAGGCTGTACTCATGTCCAGCCTAGTTCCTAGGGAACTTTGTAGCGACTGCCAGAACCTCGAAGTGAATCTACTATCTCTGTCCGAGATAATGGATATGGGAACACCGTGCAGTCGTACAATCTCCCGAATGTAAGTTCTTGTAAGCTTCTCCATCTTGTCTGTTTCTTTGATAGGCAGGAAGTGTGCGGACTTGGTCAATCTGTCGACGATGACCCATATGGTATCAAGTCCACCCGTTGTCTTGGGCAACTTGGTTATGAAGTCCATAGTGATCCGCTCCCACTTCCATTCCGGTATCTCCGGCTGTTGTAGAAGACCGGAGGGTTTCTGGTATTCGACCTTGACCTTGGCGCAAGTAAGGCATTTACTCACGAAGGTAGCAATCTCTGCTTTCATGTTAGGCCACCAGTATAGCTTTTTAAGATCCAGATACATCTTATCTGAACCTGGGTGGACGGAATAACGAGTGTTGTGCGCCTCGTTCATGACCAAGTCTCTGAAACCACCGAGTTTCGGGGTCCAGATCCGATCCATGAAATAATAAGCTCCGCCACCCTTAACTTCCAAGTTCTTATCCATCCCTCTCAGGGATTCACCCGCCACATTTTCAGGTTTCAAAGCGTCGAGCTGAGCCTCCTTAATTTTGTGGACAAGTGTGAATGGATAGTCATAGTCAAGATTTGACTCTACGACCAGAATATTCTTTCCGACTTAGGGCGTCAGCTACTACGTTGGCTTTACCCGGATGATAACGAATTTCGCATTCGTAGTCACTGAGTAGCTCGACCCACCGTCGTTGTCTCATGTTGAGCTCCTTCTGGTCGAATATATGTTGTAGGCTTTTGTGGTCTGTAAAGATAGTGCTTTTTGTACCGTACAGGTAGTGTCTCCAGATCTTCAGAGCAAACACAACTGCTCCTAGCTCAAGATCGTGGGTAGTGTAGTTGACCTCATGTGTCTTCAGCTGTCTCGAGGCATAGGCGATGACCTTACCTCGCTGCATCAGAACACATCCGAGCCCTTGATTTGACGCATCGCAATAGACAACGAAGTCTTCTATCCCTTCGGGGAGGGATAGTATTGGTGCGGTGCACAAGGCTCGTTTGAGCGTTTGGAACGCTCTCTCCTGCTTCTCTTCCCAGTCAAAGGCCACGCCCTTCTGGGTCAGTGTTGTAAGAGGTTTCGCAATTCGGGAGAAGTTCTGAATGAACCTGCGATAGTAGCCAGCGAGGCCTAGAAATTGACGAATTTCTGTAGGCGTCTTCGGTGCTGACCAGCTCTCAATGGCTTTGATTTTG